ATTGAGGTTTGGTTGCAGGCACATTATTTAAAACTTTTCTGTTAAATTTTGTTCAATGTGGATACGATGGAAGTTTGATTGGTAATGAGTCTCCGTACCATTCAAGGTTAATATATATTTCGGTCGTCAGTGATCCAGAACTGTTGACAATTTTTTCCAAACTTCTAAATTTGGTCGATGTGCCCAGGACAAAAATTCAATTCGTGTAATGAACTCTTGGCTCCGTATCGATTGACAATCTGATCTTTCGATCGCAATACACATAATGAAAATTTCTTATAAATGTATTAGTGACGAGATTACTACGAATCATTAATTAAAAATTTTAAATAGAACTTAGAAATGTTATAGAAGAGAATTTATTGTTTAATTGTTACAAATAATTTATTAGAAACATTAAATAATATTTAAACAATTAGAATATTCAGAAATATTATTTAAAACTCACTCCTAAATTTTGGTCGATGTGCACACGACAAAAGTTCAATTGGTAATGAGTCTCCATACTGCTGAAGGTTAATTTATTTTTCCGATCGTCAATGACCCGGAACTGTTGATAATTTTTTTTTTAGTACTTCAAAACGGTTTCTCTATTATACTAATCAATAGTTTTTAGATTTCTATCGCAAGGTTACACTTTTATAAATATGTTCAAATGTCAAATGTAATAATTTATCAATCTTTTAAACTATAACTGACTAATACTAAATTTACACTTTCATAATATTAATTTCTATGTTATAACTGCATTGATGTATATTAAGTAGAAATTTATGTAGAGAAAAGTTATGTAGTCAAAAATCGAATTAAGCCGTGATCGTCGCTTCAGAGTGATCGCGCAACATATAAAAAATTTTCATTCGTTTATTGTTTCAAATTGCAAGGAATATATGTATTATGTAACTATCTTTTCCGTTATTGTAAATAATATAATTTAATTATTATAAGTTCAAACTATGTTCAAACTATGAAATAATACTTGGAAGTTCAATCACTGATTGAATGGCTATAAATCAATAGTTAATTTGTTAAATAATATACAAAAATATCATCGAAATGCATTATTTTACAATTTGTACAATTCATTTGAAACAATTAAATTATTTTATTTCTACAATATTTCTAGACACTATTTTATAATTTTCACAATTTTTCTATGACGATTAAACAATTAAATTAATTATTTCATTCAAGGCAACGTCATTTCTCTTAAGTACATTGTTCAAGATTCTTATAAATTATTAGTTAAAAATTTTAAATAACACTTAGAAACATTACAGAAGTGAATTTATTGTTTAATTGTTGCAAGTAAATTATTGGAAATGTTAGATAATGTTTAAACAAGTAGAATATTCGGAAATATTATTTAAAAACTCACCTCTAAATTTTGGTCGATGTGCACACAACGGAAGTTCAATTGGTAATGAGTTTTCGTACCGCTGAAGGTTAATTTAATATTCCGATCGTCAGTGACCCGGAACTGTTGATAATTTTTTTTATTTAGTATTTCGAAAAACAATTTTTCTATTATACTAAACAAAAGTTTTTAGATTTCTATCGCAAGGTTACACATTCATAAATATGTTACAATGTCAAATGTAATAAAATATTAATTTTTTGACCTATAACTGGCTAAAAATAAATTTACACTTTCATGATATTAATTTCTAAGTTATAACTGCATTGATGTATATTAAATAGAAATTTATGTAGAGAAAAGTTATGTAGTCAAAAATCGAGTTAAGCCGTGATCGTTGCTTCAAAGTAATCGCGCAACATATAAAAATCTTCATTCGTTTATTGTTTCAAATTGCAAAGAATATATGTATTATGTAACTATCTTTTCCGTTGTTGTAAATAATATAATTTAATTATTATAAATGAATTGTTCAAACTATGAAATAATGTTTGAAAGTTCAATCAATGATTGAATTGTTATAAATAAATATTTAAATTTGTTAAATAGTATACAAAAATTTCATCGAAATGCATTATTTTATAATTTGAATAATTCATTTGAAACAATTAAATTATTTTATTTCTACAATATTTCTAGACATTATTTAATAATTTTCACTACTTTTATAGCAAACGATTAAACAATTAAATTAATTATTTCATTCAATAAGTCAACGTCATTTCTTTTAAGTATATTCTTCAAGATTCTTATAAATTATTAATTAAATATTTGAAATAATACTTAGATATATTACAGAAGAAAATTTATTGTTGCAAGTAAATTATTGGAATTATTAGATAATGTTTAAACAATTAGAATATTCAGAAATATTATTTAAAAATTCACTTCGAATGTTTAATCGATGTACACACGATGAAGGTTCAACTTATAATGACCTTTTTCGCTGCTCAACCATCAGATAAAGTTAAAGTCAGCGATGCACAACAAGTGGTAGTCTTTGTCATTATTTTATAGCCGCCATTGATCTTAGGCAACAATAACTATTGTAATTTTAGGGGTGTGCGGGAACCCGAAAATATCGGGAACTCGAACTCGGGAAGAGTCGGGAAGAGGTTGAGTCGGGTCGGGTCGGGTTCCCGAAAATTTCGAGATTCCCGATTTCTCGAATTACTCTGCAGTGCTGTATAGCAGCCTACGAAATATGTAAATACACTGTTCAATTTCTTCTGCCAGTGAAGTTATTGGAAACACGGATTCTAAGAATCGTGTGACCTGATGTATACAAACGTGTGTCTGCGTGCTTAGTACTTGGATATTATGTACGCTGTTGATCAGTATCGCTGAGAAATTCGGGAAGTTCAGACGTATATCTCAAAATCTGTGTGAATTTCATAAAGAGTAAAAATCTTTCAAAAAAATGTCGAGTGATAGTGAGAGTAAAGTTGTGGTAGCCGAAAGTAGTGCAGAAGATATCGTGCAAAGGTAGGAGGTAAAGAGAAACTCTGTTTGGGAACATTTTCAGAAAAAAGGCGAAATGCACACATGAATTTGAAACGTAAGTATGCAAATACTACTGGTTTATTACGCTATTTTTACGCATATGCATCCAAACATAAGTATATGTACTAGAAAAGAAACTGAATCGATATGAAATTTGTCGCGTGTACAAAATGATACGCGAAAGATAAACCAAAAGATATAACAGAAGTAATTGCTCGAATAACGGTTCTAGATTTGCGACCTTTCGATATAGTTGAAGGCGTGGGCTTTAATGAATTATTTGAGCTTGTTCCCAATCCTTTCCCAAATCCCAACTCTTTCGGGTATCCCGATTCTTTCGAGAATCCCGGCTCTTTCAAGAATATCGATAAATTCGGGAATCTCGAAATTTTCGGGTACCAGACTGTTTCGTGTTTTAGGTTCTCGCACACCTCTACAGAACACAGAACTCCGTAAACGAATCACAAATGGGATATAACTTGTATGACCTTTTTCCGTTGCTCTCCATCCTGTGTATTTTTTTCATTCTCGTTCCGCCATCAAGTCCGAGCTGTCAAGAGTTCACAGCGATAATCTAGAAATCAGAACGCGCTGAAATACACCGTCGAATTAACCTACACGTGGTAATCAAACTGGGTCTGTTTGACGTCGCTGTTCAGACCAACGTGCAAAGTCAAGCAAATTATCGTTTCGATCGAATTATCACGCTAACGAGGGACACTGAACTGACTTTTTGTCACGGCCGCTTTACCGTGGACGTTTGTTAAATTTGTTCGTTTTGAAATATTCGTCCAGTGACGCTCAAACTGTCGTGACTCTAATACGTTTTAGCAAGCTTCTCTCTCTCTCTCTCTCGTGGACGTGGAAAATGGTACAGGGTTCTTTATGTCGAACGTAATCGGTACGTGAGACCAATACTAATGGTGTCGTAAGAGATATACACAGAAGTTCCTTTCCAAAATTTTCAACGTTACTTTCTGAAGATTTTCCTCCTACGTGATTTTTTAAAAATCATCGTTCAGTAAATTCCTAAAAATTGTTGATGTTGCAGATGTATTTAATATGTTTCAAGCATTCATCTGGATTGTAAAGTTCTTTTGTCCGAATATGTCTTTTTCTTCGGGGATATTTTAAGTTACTAAAGCCGAAATGAATCGTAGCCCTTGAGTGGATTTTCAATTTTAGTTGGAATCTTTGTTTAAGATGGAAATGAATTCTCCTTTTCAGCATTAGGAAATTAACGAGACAATAGAGAGTTACGTAAATTTTTAAATAATGGTAAAAAATGTATCTGCGCATGATTGTTAGTTTAAAATTAAATGCGTCCGCAGCGATTGGGAATTAAAAATTCATCTTTATGGAAATTTAGCTGATGACCATAACTTATAGAGCATATGGCGTGTATTATACACATACACACAGGTAGATAAAATATAATTATGTAAGTATCAGTTTAAGTATAAAAGAATATAACTATGTATCATCAACATCATCATTATTGTTACTATCATTTCTATAATATTATTTCATATTTCTGTAATTTCACTATTTAGTTTTTTGAAAGTGTTTATTCATTATGTTATTTTATTAGTTTGCCATTCAGATAAGGAGTTAGGAATCAACAGATAATTAATATTACACATCATATGTAATACATAATATACACACATATAATAACACAACTACATTTATATTTCATATATTTATAATATAAATATATTATATTTCTGTTAAATTTTATATTTTCAAATAACAACAACAACATCTCAATTCTCAAATTCTTCGAACAATAAATTTCCGTGTCTGGCCTAATTATTTGATCGAACCGCGAAGCTACGTATCAATTACACGACGTATCAATATCCTCTTGATCCAGTATCCACCACTTGCCGATGGTTTAAAATCCTCGATCGAGCCACGGGAAACACGCGAGTAAAATGTCAACCGCAGCCGATAGCGGTGGCAGCAATTAGCACCGTAGGCTCCTTACGGTTCGACCGTCGGCGCTCGCTAATTGTTGGGCAAACAGGGCGGCGTGGCGCGCAACTCGCCGCTAATAAACTTGACAATGGCCGGTCTGCTCTCGAAATGCAATAATAACGGTCGTTTGACACGAGTCCGGGTGTCATTCGTCGGCAAGACGTCACCGAGAAGCAAGTGGATACCGGTGAGTAAACTAATTTCCATGTGATATCGTCGCGGGCGGACGTCGCTCTTTTTTCCCCCGTTTTCACACATTCCGCCGCGGCGAACGGACGGGAAATAGGATTCTACGGATCGCTCGCCACTTCCGAGGATTCTCCACGGCAACCGCGTGATACGAGCCGCGCGGAATTTGCTCGACGTTTCGACTCTGTTCCGCGAGACAGCTGAAACGGGAGAGAGGATTCTTTTTTTTTTTTTTTTTGGAAGACCGGCTTCAAGTCAAGTTTCAATAACATTGAGACGGAGGATCGCGTTAAAGATCGACGAAGTCGAGTGCACGCGTACTCGGAAGATCCGGATTTGAACGTATTTTGTCTTTCGTTGCGATTGTTTGCTGGAGAAAATTTACTGTTTCCTTCGATATTACGATTTTTACGAAACATTGTAAATAATTCAGGGATCGAAAGTGATAGTTATCTGAGAAATGTTAGAAAGGAAACGGTAAATTGTTCGTTATTTTAGTTATTAATCATATAACTAAAAAATTTCGAATTATTAATTTTGATTTATTTTTTTCTTTTTGGTTACAAATAACAATCATAAGTGACCGCAAATTTTTTTTATTGTCGATAACTATTATTGAATTCTAAGGAAATTTTATTTCAGTTTGTAATAGTTATTAATGAGGGAAATTTATTTCTGTTCTAGAAATAGAAAATTCTGTTTCAATTGCTTAAATAGTGCAAACTACTGTTTTACATTTGACGAAAGAAATTTCCTGCAGTACCAAAATACTTTAAAAGCCATAGAATTACATCCTGATGTAAATTTTGCGAAAGTTGATGAAGAAAGAGAAGCGAAATAAATCTTTCTGCTCGATAATGGTTACGAACAATCGAAATAAAATTTTCCTCAACGATAATTGTTACAAATAACATCCGATAAATCTCCCTCATAAATAATAGTTGTGAGCAATGAAAAATGTTTTCACTTGCTATTCAATCGTGACTTGTGAAAAATATTTTACTCTTGATCATATTAATCAAGTTTGAAACGAATTAACAAATTTGACTACCGGTTAAAAGGTTTAAGACCACTGTACATTTCCATTTCGTGAAAATAAGAAATTTTATTTAGAAAATATTTTACGTAAGGGGCGAACATATAACATTTGTACATAATTTGTAACATATGTTACATGCTTTTCATAAACATATCCTGCTTTGTGTTTCATTACAACATTTTACTATTTTATTGTTCCAATAATATTGTAAAATCTCTATTAGATGCTTTTCTAAGGTTAAAATATATTTCCGTAATTAGATTCTGGAAATACTTAATTTCCAAATCCTAAATTCTAAAAAAAATTCTAAATATTTCATTTAAGATTAGGGAAAAGCAAAGTTAATAAAAAGTTAGCAAAATTAATATTATTAACGTTCGTCTGTCCGTCAATTTTTCAACTTAATTTGTTCTTTGGTATGAAATTAGTATAATGGCAAAGAATTAAATTAATTGGTACAATAATCAAAAGTTATTGAATTTTAGAATTCTTCTATTAACAATAAATAAATTAAATAAATTCCACTCTCACGTATGGATGTTCAATTTCATGTTGATCTTATCTTGTTTAATTTTATTCAACGATATCATTTATTTTGGATTTTCGCTTGTTACAACTATATTAATTATAACTATACTATACTATATTATTTAATGATTATATCACGATACATAACTATAGGCACTTTAAAGATGCATCAAAGGTATATTAAATACAACTGTAGTAATAAATAATTATAAAGCATATAGTATATATATATATATATATATATATATATATATATATATATATATATATATATATATATATATATATATATAATAGTATATAAAACATATATATTATAATAGTATACAAATATTCTGAAAAAATACTCTTAAAGTATAAATACTGTGATAGTACACTTGTACTATCTACAACTCTAGCGGCATAGTTGTTATCAAAAATATCATCACTTACACGCTACAACATTTTGTAAAAGAACTATGTCAAATTGACACAACGTGAGGAAACGTGAGTTAAAATTACTTAAAATTTGTTGAAACGCCTCGATAGAAACGAAATTGGACGTTAGTTGATTTACGAAAGAAGAAGAAAAAAAAAAAAGAATCAAGAAAAGATTCAGCAAGCGTGTAATCAGCATCGACGAGTCATCTTTGTCAATTTCGTTGTTTCGCGAACGGATCTCGTAAATTGAATTCGACGAATAAACGAGGGTGGGGTGAAATGGTCGCAATATCATATTTCTTCAGCGGGCATCTTCTCCAATTATCGGGCAACTTCGTCGCGGTGGCGAACGAAGGAGAAAGAAAAAGAGGCCTGGGAGTTCTGATGCCACGGTAATATGGTTGGCCGATAAGCGAGATCACGTCGTTGCCATCGTTCATGCCGAAAGGCTACCTACCCCTCGTGTTTTCCAGTATCGGCTCCCGTCACCTATCGATCATTTCCTCCGCCCACTCTTCTCGCGCCGGACTAACAATTTCCTGTTTCCTAAAGAGTTTACCGAACTGAGTTACAAGATACTTCCACCGGGAGGATCGATCTTCCCTATTCCCTACGCGGGATAGTCTATCCCGCGTGTCTGGCGATTCTCTTCCTTTTATTTCCACCTCTTTTTCGTTCGAAGAGGTCAGACGGTGAATTTTTCGAGACTAAATTTTCGTTTTCATTAATTCTTTAAGCTGGGCCGGAGTTAAGCAACCTGTGTGATATTTTTAGATTTTTGGGTCATTGGGTAATTTTTGATATATATATATATTTTTCATGAACGTAGATTATAGAAGAGAGAGAGAGAGAGAGAGAGAGAGAGAGAGAGAGAGAAGTTTTCGAATGAACAAACGCTTCGTTTTTTTTCTTTTTGTCCTTTTCCGTTGAGAAACACGGAGATTTAGATCCAAAGTGAGATTTTCACTTTCATTTGTCACGAAATCGAGAAAAGGAATGCTCAAATGATCTGGTTCTCTTTTTTCTTCGTATTTTACGTTCTCCTTTTGAGGAAAGTAGGTGTCACTGGATTCTAAAAATGGGTTTCAAGTTAATTTATCTCTATTAAGGATCAAGCAATAATTTATCGCAGTACTATAAGTTCTTCCATTCGAATTTCATAAAGTTATAGAATTTAGATGATGCAAGAGATATTTCATATCACAGTGTATTTCAGATCTCAATCGTGAGTACAAAAAAAAAAAAAAAATTGCTTGAAATAAATGTTAAGTAATTTGAATGTGTCTGATCACTTGTGGCTTGTACTACTTTCGTGTTTCGGAAACAAAGACGAATTCACTCGTGATGTATATCACATTTTTTTTTCTCAAAATGATTTTTGACGTGTGTTGGCAAATTCTGACGTTGAGATCTGTAGAATATATATCTGTATACATATCAATATCGATGCCTTTTCCAATTACTGCGATATTAACAAAACATTTGGAAATAATCGACATTAAATAAGGACATAGTATAATTAGTATAGTATAGTATAGTATAGACAGTATAATACAGTATAATTAATACAGTCTTAGATAGCAAATATTTTGTGAAAAATCGGAGTAAAATGGAAGAGAAAAAGCATCTTATGTTGTATCGAATCTTATGAAAGAAAGTTCAAACCGCGTTACCTCGAAACTCGAATAATTGCCATCTTATTCGAGATGGTCGTTCCACTTCTCCTGTCTTAAATACAGTTTTTACTCGAACTTGAAAATAAATGAAATTCAGAAATAAGAAATTGAAGTGTTTTTTCAAGTATGCTCGTCGAACACAGTTAACGAGAGCGAATCCGTCATAAAGAACCGCTTCATTTTCACGGAGAAATCGTGTCCCACGTATGGCGAACGATCAGTCAACGGCATCGATTCTTCCATTACGTGTTCCTTTGTCTATCGATTTCGCGTTTTAATCTAATTCTACAAAAAAAAAGAAAAGAAAAAAAAGAGAAAGAGAGTTAAAAATGAAGTGAAATCGTGGAAATTCCACAGGTTCGAGGATAAACTGAGAGAAAGATCGGCGGAATATTCGAAATTCGCGCAATAAAAGCTTTCATCGTGGCTGAAAATCATGCAGTTTGAGGGACGTGGCTCGTTTATTGCGTCGTTTAGCGACATTTCGTTGCTGCTCGTTTTTCTTCGACCACGATTTTGACGGATCGCCGCGACGATTCACGAAATTGTTTCGTCCCTTGAAATATAGCCGCGACCTCGTAGAACCGGGATCGATATGACAACGACGTGTGTATGTGTGTGTGTGCACGCTGTGCACACATCGAAATTACGTCACCGATAACTCGACATGAAACCGGAAGTTCGTGTTCCGCGTGCTCCGCGAAGTTCAGAAACTGAACGAGAAATATCTGTCGTATGGTTTCTTCTGATCCGTGCCACGAAAACGTAATAAGGCATATCGTTGATTTTGACAATCATCTGACGAAGGAATATCTTTTAATTTCATTCGATTCTTGTTTACCAATGAAAGTAATTATAATATATAATTGATGTAACAGTATCGAAAGATCATGACACATTATTACTGGATTATGGATTTTTACGCATTTATAGAATATTTTAAAATCCTTAAATTCAAACAATATGATAAAATATGTAAAGTATATAAAATATAGTATTTCATATGATATCTCTAGAAAAAACAATTTTTCACGGATATTTTATTCCTTTATTTATGCCGTTGAAAATATAAATTTGAATAATAATCCACGGTCTAATCATTATTATTATATTATGATATTAAAATATTGTAAGATAATTCTTAGTTGCACGACGATACTTCAAGTGATGAATTTAATAATGGAATTTATTTTTCATAATTAACGAAGAATTAATAGTTTATTAAGAGTGTTAGTAATAAATAATGATTGTAGAGTAAATATCAGAGTCAAAAAATTCGGATCTGAGGGAATCAATAGTTCATTAAAAATGTTCAATAGTAAATAACAATATACA